AGCTTATACCGTCCGTTATACATTAAACGCACATACATATGTATTATGCCCATGTTCACACGCATATTCGCAGCTGTAAAGGTCTAACGAGCACACATAAACACCTATGCACATGCGTCCCGGATTATGGGTGTCCGAATTAACGACTTTTGATTGTATAAACTTTGAAGGCTCCCACCTTATAATTTTTTCATATAATTATTTTTTTATAGGAGATATATGCTCCTATACATATACATATATATATAAATGGAATGTTCAAAAGGCCAGTTTTCTTTGAACAAAGAATGGAGGTCTTTATAAGGAACTGCCAGAGCAACACTTAACCGCTGTTAATATCTTTAACACAAAAAGGGGAAATAAACCAATCAAATTGACAGCCAAGGGATTATTGTATATTATATCTAGATTTTTTATTTATATACTTTTTATCTCATATATATGACAAAAAATGCATGTGTGTATACACAAAAATACCTCACATAAAAAGGGAAACAGGCTTGAATTTATATTACACATAGGAAAGACCATGAAACCAGCCCAAAAGTCTAGACTGAAATCTCAGTCAAATTGCAAATGTTTAACAATCTTATTCACTTGGCCTGTTAGTGTATGTAAAGATGAAAAAAATTTTGATAAGATATAGGAAAGTTTAAACATTTATTTCTCTAAAATATATTTCATTCTTCAAGAATTTCTCAATTATAACTATAATTTGTAATAATACTCTGAGTGCAATAAATTTCCCAAAAGCTAGAAAATGTGCACACACAATTATTACTTTCACTCAACTATAATAATGATATAACATAATTAATTTCATGTTATTATATACAATGAAGAATATTTAATTGCAAATTAATCATAATAACTTGCATCATTAATTTTGGTTATTACAACAATAAATTACATAATTTAATCACAAAATTAACATATTTAAAGTATGCATAACTAATGCAAGATATTTGTCTCATACTTTTTTCTGACTGCTATTATTTTTGTTTACTTTATAGTTAAGAAACAGAAATTCTGAAAGAATATGTCAGAAATTAAGAATATATTAATAAAGCAAAAAAATATCTATAAAATTGTTTTTTTTTTTTTTTTTTTTTTTCTTTTTCATTTGCTAACTATCTGCAACCTTACTAAAAAGTCACAAAGCATTCACAAACTGGTTGGCAACTTTGGAAAGAAAGTTTGTTTGGGCATCCTTACACCTATTTCAATGATGCTGCCTTACATCTATCTCAATTCATTTAGTACTGCCTATTTTTTCTATTCTCAATTTTCCATAGAAAACATTTCTTGGAGGTAATTACTCCATTCAACAGTTGTATTTGGGAATAATCTCCAAATACTTTTTCTTTTGACACACTCAAGCATTATTTAGATCTTGTGTATGCAATTAAATTTATATTCAACAGGTTTTAAGAATTTAATATTTTAATTAGCAATTCTTAAAGTTTAAATACATACAATTTATATTATTATCCTTTAGTACTCTTTAGAATTTAATTTTTTACTTTTAAACTGAAAATAAGAAATAAAGAAGATAAGTAAAAAATCCTCTTAAATATGCTTAAATTTACATTGTGAAGAGTTTAAAATAATTATTTTAGAATGAAAAAAAAAATCATATAACAAGTCCAAAAGTTTATTTGATTCAAAAACTCACATCAATTCTTTGAACTTTGTAGTCTTTATGCAGCTTTTTTCCAAATGATTCCACCATTATTCTAAATGAAACATCTTTTGCACAGTATGGCTCCTAGATATGGGATAAAAGTCTTTTACAAAGGCCACTAAAATAAATATTTTTATTTTTCACACTGATGATGCAACCACCACCAAAAAAGTATAAAGCAAAATATAATTTTAAAAAGTATTCTCATATATAGCAATACACCACATGACTTCCCTGTACGGAATATTAAATTATACACATTTTTTTTCCTGTATTTCCCTTAAACTTACTGAATTGAATTAAATCTTCTTTAATAATAGCACATAAACCACAACAGAATAAATGAACTCTTTAAAAATCATTAACCACTGCGACACTCTCGCGCTAGGTTTACTTTACAGGATTACATCTCATTCATTTTATAACTTAGAATGCACAAAAATTACAGCATCTGAAGACTATCTAATCGATGCCATATGTTCTTTTCAAATACTTTAATAAATCCAAAGGGATGTATAAAAGAAATTAAATATAAAAAAGAAAAGTTTTTCACAGACGATTCAGCGCCACCTATCTAATGCACATGCGCTACTATTCTCCTCTGTCCGCAACAGACTGGCGACAATATTGCTGCTATACGAAACACTTATTTGATTGAATTTCATCAGAGATATATATCTCATTCAATTAATTCAGTTCTCACCTCACAGCAAAGCAAAAATACATAAAATCTCAAAATATCTTCATTAAAAATTGAAAAATAAAGCACGAAATAGTTAAAACAATAAAAATTTTTTTTTTACAATTAAAACTGGAGTTTTTATGCAAAAACAAACAATTCGACTAGCAGGCACCAAGGCAGACTTTTCGGTGCACAAAAATTATAGTTTTGGTCCCAATCGGCAAAAAGACACTGAAGTGCAGAAACTGAACTCACTATTCTGCTAAATTTAAAATGTAAGCATATGGTTCCTATTTATAGACACATATTTAATCTTTAATACAGATATTTTTAGATAATTCTAAAAAGTGTTCATAAATTAAATAATCTAAAAACTATACACTAAAAATTTCCTCAAACAACTATAAACATATTTGAATTTAAAAAAAAATGCATTATAACCTTTACTGCAAATAAAACAACATATGCTTACAGCAAAAAAAGTTCAAAAGCTAAGATTTATAAAATCCTATATACTGAGCAAACAACCCTTTCAAACTGCAATGATTAAATATGTAATCATAAATACTTACAATAAATTCTTTAGGTATATTTTTTAAACCTGCATGAAGATCAGACAAAGTTCTACTCTTAGCCCACAATTCATAAGCAGATCTGCAATGCATAACAAAAAACAAATTCTAATAGACATACGTCAATTATGTATAGTGGTTAAAAATGAATGCAAGACATTTAATAAAATTTTTCAATACCACTTGTCATAGCAAAAAATTCACAAGTAGCACCTAACTCTCAACTACCTGAAACATCAAATCCTGGCTATCTTTAAGAATACCATAATTTAAGAACTTTAAAAATATCTGTCTGAATTATTTATCTGGAGTTGGTATGATTTCAAAATTTAACTTTTTATTAATGTGCTTTAAATGTATTCAAATCAATTTACTGTATTCTGATTTGTGCTAAAATATAATGCATTACTTCAAGTACATCTTATTATTTGCTAATCTTGTATTAAAAAAAATTTGATATGTGATTTCTAAATTCGATTTCTTTAGTGAGTTGACTCAAAGATTTGTGAATGAAGAGGAAACATTGAGCTTAAATTAATAAGGTATGGAGTTATATAAAATTTTGAAATAAAATCATCATAAAATTTTTTAATCATTAACTTATTTTATTTCATTTATTTATTTATTTTTCTTATTTATTTCCTTTCCTGTCTAGCAAATCTAGAGAATTGCATGATTTAACATTTCACATTAATATGATAAAAGCTTATTTTTATATTTAAGGCCTCAAGTTTTTTATTAGCAAAGACTAACTTAACACCAGGATTCCAATAAAACAAAATTAGCCAAAGTGAAAATAATACTTTGATCATAGATTGTCAATATATACTTTGAACATTTAAAGTAAAAGTAAACTATCAGCATTACAAATTTTGAAATCTCAAATCACTAATAAAATTAAGTCTTTAATGATGTTAATTTCTATAAGGTTCTGCATTTCAAGAGGAAACATGGATCTCTCTTAGTTATAAAATCTATTATATACAAGAAATGTTCAGATTGGAGATATGCATCATCAAAAAACGTTGAAATTTCTGAATTAGTAAAGTTCTATGCCATTTATTGAAGAGAAAATAGCTGTGACTGTTAACCTTGGTCTGACCTTGCATATTTTTCCCTTTTAATGTCAGAGTGGTTTATGAAAAAAACCTTTTAACCTGCAATTCAGTTCTGAAAATTAACCATTTCGTATGAGTGCAAATTATATATATATATACTTCAATAACACTTGTACTTGTTCATTAACAAGGTGCAAAATAATTTAGTGATGAACACAAAAACATCATAAACTGCCAGATACTTATAAAACTATGCAGGAAGCTTAAATGTAAACATATTTGGTCAATGGCTGATCAGCAGATATATGAAACAACATTTTTAACCACAGTTGACAAATCTAGTCATTTCTAATCCTGTAGTATAGATTTTCAAGAACCAAATTAAAATTCAATATGGACTATTTGACATATCAAACTTTTTTTTTTTTTTTCATTTTTATATTTTCTGCAAAGTTACTAAGTTAACTACTTTTAATCCCTTTCCCATACATGTAGCTGTGAGTACATAATTATTTAAATTAACTTATTAACACCTTAATAATCATTACAGATGTCACTAAATTTTCAGAAAAGCACCAAAATCTGTCAATGATGTACATAACAGTATTTCATTTTACAAAGAAACATCCAAATTTTCCTAAGCATTCTTTTTCTGGTATTCAAATGGTTTTTATCCAAAAATAGTGACATATTTTGTCTTAAACTCAATTTTAAAATATATGTGTCAATATTTTATAAAATATTTTAAAACACTTGCAGAATCTGCCTGGCATATAAAAAATTTGTGGCGTAATTTCTTCCGGAATACATTATTCTTTTGTAGTCTCTAAAGGGAACTATTACTTTGATAAGAGAAATCACCAAGAAATTTCTGTCCCATCCACCCAAAAATGAGAGAGTTTGTAAGTATGCTTATTGACTGATTTTCATATAAATTATAACATGCATAATATGTATATATATATATATATATAATAAATATTTTTTGGAACAATAAATTATCACTCGTTTCTTCTTTAAAAAATCACCAAACTGAGTCAAGGTGGTTACACTAATACTTAAATGTCATTAATTTTTCATTTTATTACCAAAATGATGGACAAATACTAAACAACTGGTCAAGAAAATTTTGTTTTGATAAAAGCTACAAAACTTCTAGATTTATTATGATGTTTAGAAAAATAATCTTCTCTAATGAAAGTTGCAAGAATCTAGATTTATGACACTATAAAGGAAAGCAATTTCATTTAAACACAATGATTCCTTAATAAGAGATAAGAATATACAAAAAATATGTACAATAGTCTACTTACCACTTAAAAATAGCATCAACAATCAAATTGTAGTAACTAGAGATCACATTTTTCCAACATTCAGCTTTATTGAGATTTGGATATTTCTGAATTAATGATTAATTAGTTTCTTAAGAACTGAAGCTGACTTTCAGAAAATCTTAAAATCCTATAAAACTATTTAGGGAAAAGGGCCTGTTTCAACAAATAAGAAAGAAAAATAAATTGAAGCAAAATAAAAGTTAAAAAAAAAAAAAAAAAAAAAAAAAATTGGGTCTGTTTTATACTTGTTTTGCTTTTTTTCACCTATTAACAGGTGCTAGTCATAATTGTGTGCCAAAGCAATGAGTGTGGTAAACAAAGCAGTGCAATGGCATCATTGTCAATAAGTAGAAAGAAAGAGGATCAATCTAAATTTTTTCCCTCGTAAATTTTAAGTTCTCTCTCTCTCTCTTTTTTTTTAAGGAAAGAATCAGACTGTTAGAAGGCTAGATGGCAACACAAAATGGTAAAATAAAACATCTGCATAGTACTGCCTACCACCATCTAATTTCCTACCTAATCAAATTTATGTACCATGGATTGCACAGAAAGACACAAATGGTTTCAACACTATTAAACGAAATCAGTACCTCAGTACCTTTGTAGCTCCTCTGTACCCTCTGGAATTAATCTGGCAAAATTTACTTGTACGTCAGAGTTTATTTTCAATACTTATTCTGAAATCAATAAAACAGTCATTATTTTCATGAGGCTGAATATACTATACTGACTGCCATCTAGTTAGATTTCACATCAACATTTAGGTTTGGTGCACCATTAATTGAAAAGAACCTTTGTTTTTTAGTACTATTTTTGTAATTTATTTTAACCTGATTAAAAAAAAAAAAAAAAAAAAAAAGAATAGTATTTGTTTGAAATTACTGATAGTTTTCTTTTACTTCCAAGTATATTTTAAACACACAATTTACTTATTTATCAACCAAATGAATCATGTGTTTATATAAATGTATCATATATGAAATTCTTATTTTACACAGACACTGGTTTCATGTAAACAGCGCATTCTTCAGCATTTATAAATTCCACAGTCAAATATGTGTTTGTACAGGATTTGCTACAGAATTTAACCCTATCCTTTACACCAAAAATAAAATATCATGGTCATGATAAAAGCCTTTTGTAGTAGAAATACTGTATCATTGACAAATTTATATTAATTTTGAAATTAACAGGTCTGTAAAATTTCATTCCATTGTTTAGCAGTATCTTCTTCACAATTCTATATGATATTAGGTGAATCAAATTACATTCTTTAAAATCCCTGCCTCTTTTTTAATGCAATTACTGATCATGTTTGAAATCACTTTATCCCATGAATTTTAATAAAATTCACTGCACCAAAAATACTGAGCATAAATGTTATAATCAGAAGTTCCATTTCCAAATCACTTCACTACATTTTGTTTTAAATAATTAAAAAATTTCCACATTAAAAAGTTATAGTTTAGTTGCAATTTAGTGGGGAAAAACTTATTCAACACAGTGTGAATTAACTTGTGAGCAGAAGCACATTTTTGTTTTAAATTCCACAATTTTTCTAAAATTTTTTTCTTGGGGCATCTTAAAATGTAAGAAACAAAAATTAAGGGGAATTAACTTGACGTTTCTTCATAGATCTCAAGATGACTTATAGTAGGATTTTTAAGTACAATTGTTAGTTGTTGTTACATCTTGAGCTAAAATATGTAAAGGCAACAAAGGTAAAATTCAGTTCATAATGTTATCACACATAAACATTAATGAATTTAATAGTTCCCTTTTCAATTTTTTATCAGAGTTCGTATACATTTCTGCATATGGAAATTAAGTACCTTTAAAGACTTTTATGGACCATTAATGAAAAAAATTAAGGACCCATCAACAAATGGGAACTGATTAAATTCAATTAAAGATATTAGCTATGCCTGAACTTCACTTTTGTGGATACTCCTAAGAATAAAATAGATCCACAGTAGAATGCATTATTATTAAACATAATTTAATAAATATAATTTAACAAATTTGAGATAAAGTCAGATTTATAAAATTTATCAAGTCGCATTAAATACATTTCATCCTATACAGTCAAAAGTTGTTAAATCCGGACTCGTCGGACTTCGCGATTCCGGCTTATATAGATCATCAGTTTAAATCTCGTAAGATGGCATCAGAAATTCTAAAATTAAAAATATGAAACCTAATTTTATGAAATAAAGAACAATTATGATCTAAAGGGTATCAAAATTTACAAAAAAAAAAAAAAAAAAAAAAAAAAGCTTAATATTTATTTGTTTACTTTATTAACATTTCTTTCAATGTAAGTTGTTTAAGTTGCTTCATTTTATGTGATAATACTTTCTCTTTAATTCTAAAACAGACATAATTTCTTGTTCAGTTACAAAGTTCCCGCTGTTCAAGTCCCGTTAATTGCTGTGCCGAGAATACCGACTAACTTGTCAATCGAAATTTTTTTCGTTTTCACTAACCTCTCTGTCACATTCTTCATGCCTTTCCATTTTTTGCAGCAATTCCACTTTTTGTTTTGTTGAACATCGAAACATACTTTCGTTTGTAGATCCTTTGGAAGTTCCAGCATCGGAAATCTATTGACATAGAAAGTCAAGTTTACTTTTATAAATTGCTCTTACAGTCTGCAAAAAATAATAGTGGGATCCATTCGAAGATTAAGAAACAAGCAATCATTAACATTAACTGAAATAGATAATTTTAGCTTACAACCATCCGTTAACATTAAACGCGCAGCGAAACGTATTCTGCACTTGCGCAACCTCTATGCGCAGTAGTCAGTCTTACGCGCACGCGTAAAACCCTGCGCATGTGCCAACGCGGCGCATGCGCAGAAAGTTTTTAGCTTTGAGGTCCGGATTATAGATCATTCCGGATTATGGGTGTCCGAATTAACGACTTTTGACTGTAATAGCTGGACATATTTTAAAGATTAGTGATGATTAGTAAAGTTTTATTTACGCTTACTAACAGTTAGCTTTATGTTGATTTCTTCTTATATGTCTGATTTTGTCATGCATTTGCTCAGTTTAGAGGTTCAGTAAATTGCAGATAGATTTAATATCAAATGGCATAGGTTAAAACGAGAAGTTCATTATAGAGGCCTGGCTGTCGCCACCTCTGCTGCGCGCCTAGAGAAAGGCCTGCTGATCAAAACAAACCTGAAAGCCTGATGTAGGCACAGCTGGCAAGTTTTGAAAGTTAAGCTCTGCCTGTCTGATGCAGTTAGTGTCATAACTTCGTATAGAATTCCTGGAGTTGTAATTAATCCAGTTGATATATTTTATGGTTCCAGTAAGTCACTAAAGTACCAGAGGTGATAAGTGGTTTTGTATATTTTTAGTCTCACTAGATGCAAAGAATTAAGTTTTACATTTTTATGCTGTATCTTGTGACCATGGTAAAGATTAATGAAAGGCAATAACTCACTTTAATATGCAGAGATAACTTTTAAGGGTAACCAGTTAGTTACAAATAATTAAATTAACTAGATACCCTTAGCCTTTATATATTTACATAACCACTATTAAATTAATTTTTTTTTTAAAAATATTTGTTAAAAAAGCACTATTAAAATCACAATCTATTAACATGTCACAGTTTAAAATACATGTAATTTATGACATTGATTCTTAAATGATATTAAGATAACTAACTACACATTAAAAGCTACAAAACATTTACATTTTGTAACAACAATACTCATCAAATTATTTATGCATCTTTTTAATTTGAAGCCTTTCCAGATATTCTGGCTAATTTATATCAATTTCCTTCTCTTTAAGCATCTTTTCTAAAAATTAGCAATTTTTTTTATATTTGTTAATTGTTATTTTGTTTCAATATGCAAATCAATATACCCACTAGTTTCTGTGTGTTTTATCTCCTAACTTGTCAATCTCTTGACCATGTACCTATGAGGTTTTATTTGATCTGATAAAAGTTAAGTGGTCCAAAACCTTCGACAGAAGTGAAGCAAATTACCGCTATGTCTGAAAGTAACTACAAAGTTAGATAAAGGTTTAAATAAACCTCTTATTTAAAAAGACCTTAGAACATAAAGGCCTGTTCTTATACTAGCAAAATCAGCTATAGCTTGTGGTGATCCAATTAAACAGGAATAGTCAAATTAAAACTAAAAATATGGACTAGTAGTCAAAGACTACACAATTTAATTTTAATCTAAGATGCCTCAGCAACATATCGTAACAAACTCGTAACTCATCATAACATAGTTATCATGTAACAAATTCAAATATCGGCAGCGATAATGCAAAGACGAATAATTACAAATTACCAGAGTTGATAGGAATTAACGTAGGGTGAAGTAGCGACCAGAAACAAATTCTGTCTCACAACCCCAAAACCTTAGTTGAAAAACTATAGAAACAAATTCTGTCTTACAACCCCAAAACCTTAGTTTAAAAACTATCTAAATGGCTTTGATTCTGGAAAATTATAGCAAATGCTGAAATTATAAACAACTGCTTAATTTATATAATAATAGCTGTACATATCTTTGAAGAACAATTTTCTTTCTCTTAATATATTCAGTTTCTTTCTCTTAATATATTCAGTTTCTTTCTTTAATACCTTTCCTCTTCATATTAGAATTTTTGGATTTAATTAAAAGATTTCTGTTACTCTAAAAAAAATAATGTATTTAGAATGTATAGTTTTCTTATACATTCTAATTTTTTTTAGTAATATGAATATTCAGAATAAATATGAAATGATATATGGTAAGGGCTGGTTACATAGCCAGTGTAGCAAAATTTTTAGAATTTAGTGACACACTGAGAAAAAAATCTAGAAATGGCAAAATTTTAGAATTTAGGAAGGCACTAGGGCAGCAGAATTTAGGATCCATAGAGATTGCATCAGGTGAGAAAATGTGTAGTGTCAGCCCTGTGTATGATGCACAGAGCCGTAGCTAGGATTTTCAGCGTCCGAGGACAACTGAAGATTTTGCAGTCCCCCCCTTCTGTATGCCAAGAATGAAAAACATTTCATTCTAAAATTTTGTTATATCAATTTGGCACCCCACGGACGCTGTGCCTGGGACAGATGTCCCCCCTTGCTCCAACACTGATGATGCATTGAGACATATGAGATGAATCTTTTAAATTGTCAGCTTTCAATTTCTTTATAAATAGAAAAATTCCTTTTTATAAACGCCTATCCATGTGATTAGTTTAGAAGAATTTTTGATATTTTCTGTGCTTGTGTCTAGTGAAAAGTAGAGAAAACAAAGGGAAGGTAAACATGTTAAGAAAAATATTTCTAGTATCAGAAGTAAAACATTTAAATATTTTTTCGTTGTTCTTCTGAAAATTCTCCAAAAAGTAAAAATACATAAGCTTTTCGTAAAATACACCCATTATGTGTTAATAGAATGAAGACATTTTTCTGGAATCTTCTAGATTCATGGGTCTATAAATCCTCCTAAACTTTCCAAGTTGCAACGTCTAAAATCCTAAAAAAACATTAGCCCTACCAATTCTGTAACAACAAAAGTCCAGAAATATGTTGGGGAGGGGGGGAAGAAATCAGAGGAAAAAAAGTGTAAAATTAATTTTATAGAGAAAATTGATGCATAGTGACACAATGTTTTTAAAAATAATACTGTCAAAAAATTTCCAGATTTCCGAATTTAAAATTTTCTACAGAAACTAATCTTAAAATCACCAAAATATTGATAAGTTGCCACATTTGGAACTCTTTAACAAAGAATTCACATTCCCAAAAGTGAAAAGTTGTTTAGCTCTTCATTAGAAAAAATGAAATAATTTCGAAATGCTTATGCTTCATTTCTTGCTCAGAAACTTGAGTATCCCACCATTTATATTAGAAATAGGAACAAATTATAATCCATGAACCTATTCACCCATTCAAAAGATTGTTAATGAACAGAGATATTTGTCAATGAATTGACAAAAATATTTGTTCAAAATGTTAATTCACATTCAAAATGGCAGTCATAAAAACAGGCAGAAATATCAGATGATCAAAATTAAGGATTTCATGCTGAATTTGGTTGAAATTAAAGACTTTTAAGAACCAAAAATCAATTCGAAAAAACCTAAGACTCTTAAGGACCGTACAAACCCTGTTTATGAGTTTCTTCATACTAATTTTTCCCATTGTTTTAGTTTTGCCAAAATTACAAAAATAAAAGCTAAATATATTATCTGCTTTCAACAAAGAATCCACTATATACAGTTTTGGAAAAGCATAATCATTACCTAATTAAAACAGTCCTTGACATAAGCTTGTTGACGTCAGTTGATGAAGGAAAATTTACAAGAAGAAAAGGCTACAAAGATAAAACAGATAAAAATATTTAGTTAAAATATGTTTTTTCATTTTGGAAAAAATATTTTTTAAACATTTGCAATATGTATTGATAAGTGAAACTTACATCATTAACAGACGGCTCCTCTAACCATTCAAATTTTATATTTAAAGTAGCAGCAATTGCATATAATTCCTATTAAATAAGCATAACAAAATCAGATTAAACTTTTAAACATGAAATAATATAAATGAATATGTTTTACAAATACTAGGTGTGGTATAAAAGTAATGAGACTGGATTTATGAGCCATAGTATGTATATGTTACCGTGAAAGACCGAAATTGGAGAATGTCGACTTTAACCGGATTATGTCAACATTCACCAAATACGTCAGTGAAAGATTGAATATTTCTTTACATTCTTGTACATTCGGACCCTCACTGGTGTATGTCGACAATCACAGATATGCTCTGGTGTAGGTCGAAAAGAGAGGAGTATATGTACACGCTGCCATTCCAAAAGGAAGTGTTCCACAAAAAAATGCAGTTCTAAAAGCAAGGGCCTCTTGTGCAATTCAAAGTGTCATAACAGTTTAACGTTGTTGCAATAAATAAGATTTCGAATCACATAATTTGGTAAGTTTTATAACTTCTATTATTTTCCCTTTCTTATTTTGAATGTACTGTGTGTTTTAAGTTCTTACGTTCTGAAGTTCTTATTCTGAGTCTCAAGTGCATTTTTTCGCGAATGAATTACGGAGAAGGAAATATAATATTCTTATATGTTCAACATTCACCATTAGTACATGGTGAATCATTCACCGGTGTAAATCAGAAATAAGAGTATTTGGAAAATATTTCAAACTTACACCAAGCGACTATGTGAATGTTGACATTCACCGGTGAAAGTCGACATTCTCCAGATTTCGGTGTTTCACCGTAACATATACAGAAGTTACAAATCAGCAGTATCTGCCTTAAAGAGATTTTCTGGTATTTACGTATTATCGCAACCAGGTTGGCGCTATTTGTAAGTTTCAGTAAAAAAGTATGAATAGAAAGAAAATGTACATTTATTAATTACAGATAATTTTTAATACAGTTTTTTATATTATTTTGTTTTAAAATATAAAATAGCAATTAAACCCTTCCGGTTTCGAATTTGAATAAGTTGCAGAATTATTTTTTCGGCGGAAATCTTTTGGCTATTGCTTTTAGCACTGATTAAAAACCGTATTCGCCACAACCATGTACACGTCGACTTATTTTTAACTTAAATCCCAGAATTGCACAAAATGGCATTGCGCACACTCTTGACTTTATCCATGTACACTGCTATTTTCTCATAAATTACAAAAATTTGCACGAAAATGCAGGAAAATTTTGTGAATCTCCACATGCTCTTTTTACAAAACTACGTATAACACGTAGGGTTGCCGTAAGCAGGGTCGCCAAATTTGGCAATTTATGCGAATTTTGGCCTGGTTGCAATAATACGTAAGTACCGATTTTCTTTAGAACACATAACCATGATGTTACTCTCAATATTTCGTAAGCACTGCCAAAGTGGTTGAAATAAAATCACTGTTATTTTTTGGTTACATATATTACCTCCCTCCTCTAAATATATAAATTTATATCTTTCATTGAATTCTCATAAAAGGGTTGGTGTAGCAAAAGAGGTTATTGGTTCAGAAACAGGCTGATTTATTTAATTCTTTCATTGCACCAATGCCTGATGAAAATACAGAGAAAGATGTAAATTTCTTATTCCATTTTTGGTGTTGGCATGTTCTTATTGGTTTTGGCATTTCCCTTATTCTAGCAGTATATATATATTTACACATACACATAAAAGTAAACTTGCTAAGTCAAAAGAACTGAGAGTATTTAGCACCATGAATTGCTCTCATCTAAAACAACACTAATCTACAACGAACAAAAGAAATTAAAGAAGAACGACAAAAAAGATCAAATAACTTGAAAGATTTTACATGAACATAAGAACATTAAATTTGCACAAGGTTTTATTTTGTCATACCTAACACATTTTTAAGAATTGCCTTTTTCTAAAATAATAAATAACAGCATAGAAAATATAACATATAATAGGGGAAGGAAAAGTTAATATTATAACTTTTTATAGACATATAGAAAAAATTAATAAGGTGTCTGTGGCTATTCCTGATTTGAATGCAAGCTTCATAACAATTCTCCATACTATGTATCAGATTGTTCAGGAGTTCCTGCAGTAACAAATTATAATCATGATGTATAGCTCCTTGGAGCTCCTATGATAGTGTTAAGTAGGAGCTGCAATGATGTAAGTTAACATCTTAGTGTGTTCATGCCCATGTTCCATTAAATTTAAATCCATAGAATATGTAGGCACTCCATGTATTGGATTCTTTCACATTCAAGATAACTAGCTGGTCACTAGTTCAAAGTGACAAGGATGAGATTACTATGCATTATGATGAAGTTATTACAGACTGCCTCCCTAAACTAGTTGATATATCAAACTAGTTGATCAAAAACCTCATTCCTGTATATTTCAGCATTCATAGTTGCATTGGTAAATACGGGGTCAGTGTGGCCATTCAAAACATTGCATGCATGGCCATACCATGATTCCACTACCATTGTACGGATGCCCTTCACAGATGTTTTCAGGCTTATAACGTATGTTTTGTTGGAATCACTTACCAGGCACATTTTGCAGCCTGAGTTAGTAGCAACAAATCATGGGTTTAATTGCATACAGCCCAAAATTTATGCAGCCAGTCACTCAACATATCTGGATAGTTCAGTTCCTGTTGATACAACAAATTCTTTGCAATCTAAGCTAATATTAGTTATGTATTTTTTCAACAATCATTGTCAGATAATACTGAGATTCTGTTGTGGTACTTTCTTCATCTTGACCGGGTTGTCTGCACATATTACCAATGTATTTAAATGTTTCCAGATTTCTGACATTATGCTTTAGGCTATTTTTAGGTCTTTACACCTGTGTCTGTTCCACATCCAATTTCCCAATTCCATACCATTTCTCACCATAAATCATGGAGGTAGGAAGTAAGAATGAGAGGCTCTAACCGGTTTCCCCCATACACTGCTTTGAAGCACTGGCGATCCCTTTGTAATGACCATTCAGTGTCTTATCATTAAGATCAATGGGTTTTGACACGATCGGATGTAAATATTTTGTAAATTAAGTCGTAAATATGCTTATAAATATATATTTTTTCTTTTTCTCAATATCTCAGAGTCTTAAGTATGCGAAAAAAAACATTTTTAAACAACATTTCATTCTGAATGGAATATAATGCTATACTTTTCTCAGAACAGTTTAATTTGAATGAAAATTTTTACAAGTTTTTGTTAATTACATTAGAAAAAAATTTTAAGGTAATTCAATTTAATTTTATTCAGTTAAGGATTACAAAAATTAAGATAAAAGTTTATTGTATTATTAATGTTAAAATTATACATGATTTCTTTTCTATTTATAGAGCTTCTTCCTAAAATACTTTCTCAAATATGACATGATTTTTTAGCTTCTGAGGCATCTTTTAAATCAAAAAATCTAAGTCAATTTATAATTAATGCTCTATTTGGTCCATTTCAAATTAGAGTACCTTTTATTTTAATAGTGAAGTACCTTAAATATTGGTGCTCATTTCCATGTACTTAACTTTCTCTCAATATTTCTGAAAGGGAATAAAAAAACGGATTTTTTTAAATATATTATTTAAAACTCATAACTGAGTTATTATAAAATGTAAGGGAATAATTCTTTTAATTATACTTATTAGATTTTTTTTATCCTTAATTTCAACACTATATATTCTAAAACTTTTCTTTATTACTTCTTTAAGTATGCATGTCATAGAATTAGCTTTACAATACCTTTTAACAGATTGCTTTCAAATACGAACAATTCCTGCTTAAATAGTTTTATAAACATATTTGTCAACAGGATTTTAATTTATGTTTACAATTCAATGTTAAGGTTATTATATATTTAGGCAATATTTATAATCATTATAAATTTAGATGCATTTAATAATTAGATTTCTTCACAGTAACTTTCACTGGAGTTTATGAATGAATAAATCCTTCATTTCAAATACATTTACAAATAATATCTAGACATGGCTCTGTTATCTCCTTCATAACCTTTTATTTGATTCTTATAAGTACCAACAATCAGTTACTCATTCAACTTTATTTTTTGAATATGCTCGTATACCAAACAATTAACAGCATTTTATTATCTGCACCCCGCAAAAAGTCATGAACTTGTTGCTGACTTTGGATGCATTTATATGCTTGTTGCCAACTTTGGAAATAAAAGTTTATTTGGGTATTTTTATTTCAACAGTACATCCACTGCTGGCTTTTGTGTTGATGTTCTCTTCATATACACAGCAATCTGCTTTTGTTATATATAGCAAAGATATGAAAACAAGAGAAAAATAGATTTTGGGGATTTGTGGAAAAGTGGGCAGTCATGGTGTCTTCTTATTCCAGCATGTAGAGACGGGACTGATAAAGATTATTTGGGTATTTTTATTTCAACAGTACATCCACTGCTGGCTTTTGTGTTGATGTTCTCTTCATATACACAGCAATCTGCTTTTGTTATATATAGCAAAGATATGAAAACAAGAGAAAAATAGATTTTGGGGATTTGTGGAAAAGTGGGCAGTCATGGTGTCTTCTTATTCCAGCATGTAGAGACGGGACTGATAAAGATTATTTGGGTATTTTTATTTCAACAGTACATCCACTGCTGGCTTTTGTGTTGATGTTCTCTTCATATACACAGCAATCTGCTTTTGTTATATATAGCAAAGATATGAAAACAAGAGAAAAATAGATTTTGGGGATTTATAGAAAAGTGGGCAGTCATGGTGTCTTCTTATTCCAGCATGTAGAGACGGGACTGATAAAGATACACAATAATTTGTAGTTCATAAAGATTTAAATTTACTTAATATTTATTAATTTACAGTGCCTTTTGCTCATGCAAAAAATTTTTTTTGTTTAATAATTGCCCGATTCAGGTTGAATATGTAATAGATTTAATTCTCCCCTTCCCATGTTACCACCAGTTGTTGCAGTTTTTCACAACATAATTGGGTTAGGTTTAGACCTTCTTTTGATTGTATTTTTTCATTATATACATATATACAAAGGTGCACATATTCAGAAAGTAACAAATGGACTACTGAGATGCTATTTACTAATAAAAGTTTCAAATTACTCTGAACTTCTGCTAATGAAGTTATCGGCAAGGTAGATAAAATGAAAACAATATATGCATTTTTCATATTTCAGTTTCTTGTTAGCAAAATATGACAATAAAAGTCAGCCATTTCTTTTAACAAACACATATTATGCTGAAATATGATACATCCCAATTTGTAGAAAGACAGAAAATCAGTATACTTTTTCTTCAAATCAAACACTGTATGCTAATTATAAAAATTGGAGATTACCTGTAATCTAAAGTTGACAAGATCATGTGCATACCACAGAAGAAAACTTCTTCCGTAATTAATGATCTTTGACATACTTGTATATGAAATTTGCTGTCCGTATGAAACTAAATAAATAAAATTAATAAATTAATTAAATAAAAGCAATAACACTCTAGTTAAATGTAAATAATGAACATGATTAATTTGCTCATAAAAATTGTATAAATGTATGCATTACTAAAGATACTAAACCTTTCAGATTGTAATGAAAACTTAATACATGGAAAAAAATTTACCTCTTTATAACTGTAACTCTTCAAATGTGTATTCATATAGTTAACACTTTTCATTTAGCTTCAAACAATTCCTAAGATAATCCTAGAAACTTTGCTACACATATTTTAAGATGAAATTATCTTTTTAATTTCATATTTGGAAGTATTTGAGAATAATTTTTAATAAGATAGTCTGATCAATAAAAGTAGTATCCTTAAATAAGTTTCATCACATTAAAGTTAATTATGTTAAAAATACATTTTCTAATAGTTTAGCCCGCCAGCGGCCAAGCGGTAAAGTCGCTGAACACTGGTAGTTCGGTCCGAGGTTCGAATCCCGCAAACAGGTTGGCTGCATGGGCGTTTTCGTGGTTTTCCCCATTCCTAATGTGTATATGAACCAGAAAGTCCTCCACGAGGGCATCCCCTCCTTAGGCAGATAGCCCTAGTGTGCTTTGCCATAATTAAATAAACCAAACCATCTAATAGTTTAATTTACATAATAGTTTACCAGATAGTAGAAAAATATTTTTAAACTTACTTTAGGAAATTTCAACCTTGGAAACAAATTAAGCTTTTAGTTACAGAAAGTGGACCAATGTGTAAAAAATATATACATAAATCATTATTGCACTGGATGGGTTGCTTCAAGTTTGAAATGCACATATTTTGTAATTTAAAATATACTAATTAGAAAAACAGTAACATAAACTGTTGTCCAAAATTATCTTTGCATGCACAAAATAATGATTTTTCAAACCAGACATTAATAAATAAATTGAACATAATAGACATTAATAAAAAATATGATCCATCTTAATTCATGCAAACATATCACAACAGGTATTCAAGCTCTTAATAAAGCAGTTAATTAAGAATTTTTAAAAATAAGTTCCACCCCTCCATATATAAACAGAGAGATGTTTAAAAAAAATTTTTTACAGAAAAAGATATTGCAAGGACATCTCTCTAATTTCTTTCTCAAATTCAAATAAGGAGATCTGCCTTAGCAATTCATTTGTTCAATGACTTCAGTTGCAATTCATTATCTAGTGCAGTAATGCTTTATAAGTCTGAAATCTGGAATGATGTAAACTTAAGTCATCCAACAAACTTCTTTTTTTTTTTTTTTTAGAGATTTTTTTCTATGCTTTATGCATGTGCAATAAATCCTTTTTCATAATAAAATATGTCAACAGTCCTGATTCTTATTTCCCTTCAGCACCAAATAAAATAGCACCACGTTGAAAAAACACAGTCATGATCAATAACTGGGATCTCAACTTTTTGCTTGGCATACATCTCAAATTGAAACACTCTACATCAAAACACCATTGATTTTACCGCTACTGAATTATTTATTTCCCTCATACTAACCAGGTGCATCATTACTTATTACATTTTGTTTTCATCACCACATGGCAGATTGAAAAATGACTCTCGTTGCAATGTCCAACTATTTTTGTTAATATTAGTACCAAAAAGTATGGTGACATTACTCCTGCTCATGATTACAGACTTTCGTGCAACAATGATCCAGTAATTGTGACATCCAGTCCAATAATAACTTTTTTTGTGTGTGAAAGGATTGAAATTTCATGTTGATAACCTATGGGCAGATAGATATCAAACAAGCATATATAGGAAATTATACCCAATGATCGTTATTCTTTCTCATACAGTTACATCTGCACCATTATAATGAAATATTCCTTATGCCTCGTGAGAATATTTATTATTTTCTGGCTCCTTCTAAATGTATAGAAAAACAGCTATAAAAATGAACCTTGACTAGTCCGTAAAGAAAACAGGTCGATAGTTATAAACTCCAGCTTTGATATTTTCAGTATCAATTCAGGAAAGCCTTCAACTGAAAGGTAAGTGAAACAAAAGGCTTACCAGCAAGATCACTGAATACTAATAGTTTGAACTAAGTTTAAAAAATGCATTCTTTCTCTTAGACAGATGGGCCCCAAGTGCTTTGCAGCATAACACAAAACATTGGCTTTCAGTCATAAAGGCCTCTCTTACCAAGTCTTCTGTTTACATTTTGCAGCAATACAAGTGTTCTAGTGGCATCTGCAAATTCACTGTCATGTTCCTAGGTAGGCAGCTGCACACCCTAGAGAACCGAAACATTTCCTCTGAGATCTTATCCACCAAAACTTTTAATGTTTTTAACGGTTCTCACAGAACTGATGACCTTTTAAATGTTCAGCCATCTTGCTACTTCCATAACAGGTTTGCCTTACTTCTAAACAGCCAAAAGATCTCTACTTTAAAGATTCCTCCAAATGATACTTTGGTTGTATAAAAACACATACTCACACTGGTTACAACATTCAATAAAATTGCCATATTTTTGGTGGATTTTCAAAAATACACAACAGCCAACTCAAATAAGATACATGTGGTTTAGAACACAAAAATTTTCATACTTCATGTTTTGCTGAATGTATGCATTGTAAAGAGAAATACCAATATTTACATTTTTACAGCCCCCACTAGCTGTGAAAATGTAAATATCACTCAAAATTTTTTGTTCTTTCTAATAAAATGTGTAATTTATAATTTAATACACATTTTTTTATTATTATTATTTAACGAACAGGACAGGACCTATGAGGCATAAAATATCAAACAAACGTTTTTCATCAATTCTCAAATTCGGCAATATTTCTTGGTGACTTTTCATGGGAAATCAGAAAATATCCGAAACTATTTTCACTAGATAAATACAAAAATCAAACTTTAAAATATACAATTTCCTTCAGAAATATGCTTTGTGCAAATCACTTTCCTTGTTTTTACATAACATATCATTATTTGCATTCTGGAAACAGCTATTATGGTATTATTAACATTTAAAAAAAAAAAAAAAAAAAAAAAAAAAAAGATTGTTCAAACTGCATAAACAGTAATAATTTGATGTACTTTGCTCAATCCTTAAATAACCTAATAATCGGGCTAATATGTTTATCCTTAAATAACATATTAGCTTGATTCAAGTATTTAAAAATAATTACAGATATCAGCACATTTAACAGTATTCTAGTACAAGTCCTATTCTCATGCAATAGTCTAGTACTATTCTCATGTCTAGTAGTCTCATGAATAGTCTAGTACTATTCTCATGCAAGTATTAAAAGTGCCCATGATACAAAACAAAAATACATGTACAATCTACAGTTACAATCTTAAAAAAGCTTTCTCAAACTCTTTTTTTTTTTTTTTTTAAAGGGAGCACAACTTGGCCACAAATACAGCGATTTGGGGGATAATCCTTTTTTTCCCTCTCCTAAAATTATTTATTTAAATTTTAGATAAAATCCTAGTATACGGTGCAGCCTTGGCGCGACTTTGAAAATTATCGCTAACACCAAAAACGATCCAAAGAACGTCTATATATATATACTATACACACATAGTATATGTATGTACACACATAGTATATATACTATATACATAACACCAAAAATGATCCAAAGAACGTCTATATATAATCTATAGTACTATATACATAGTATATATATATATATACTATATACATAGTATATACTATGTTTAACTGTATATTTTCTTTGAATGACCCGTTAACTACACATCGTATATGTCCCGTTTTTACTGCTCATCATAAAGTCGCCAAAAGTAGCCAAATCCCGTGTGCACCGGATAATAGGAATAAACCAAATTTTATAGGAGGAAAAAAAAAAATATTAGCAAAAGATTAGTGCTGAAAAAAATGAAATTATCAATGAGTAGTGAAATTAGGTTTCTTTTTTATTTTAATAAGCAATATTACAATTAAATATTTATCTTAATAACGCCATTCTAAGACATGAGTACTTTTTTTTTTTATGCAACTATACGAAGAATGTTAAAGCATGTATTACAAAATGAAAAGCTTTTATACTTTATATAAGTATATATCTTATTCAGTAGAAAAATAATGTATGTATGATAACAAAACACATTGACCCACCAATGAATGTTATGAAAATATGCGCAAATCAGTGACGCATATACTGATAATATTTAATAAAATCTTTTTTAACACGTTTCTTTAATTGTGAAAACCATAACTCTTGTCTTTTAATGTTCTACATAACTTGCATCTTTTTGCCTTAAGGATGTAAAATCTTTCTTTCGAGCTTAGAGAAAAAGATAGGCAAAGGAAACACTTAGGTAAAATAAAGTCTCCATAAAATAACTCGCTGAGTTATGATTTGAACTACCGCAAAGATGAATTACTGCAATGTTACCTTAATGAATACAACTTCAGTATAGTTTTATAATGTCAATCCCATTGTTGTATTTGGACCCCAAGAATTCTACTTCAACTACCATCAGCAAGTCTGACTACTTCAAACTCCTCAACTCTGCTTAAGCAAAATCAAGGTTTTTAAACGTTGATTTATCTCTGGTGTGTGGGTAAGTAATCTAATTAAATCTTATGATTTTATTCATAAATAGCAATCTAAGTTACAAAGAATATAATTCTAAATATTTAATCTATTATGTGTAATACTAATTTTTAAGCAAATTCGATTTTAGTTGCTAAGAACAAAAGTTTTTTGACACATGTAAGACTTGGATGCTCGGCAATACTTTTTGCGAGGAACGCATTTATCAACATTTAAATATTTGTTGTCAATGGCAATTATTCACTATTATGTCTACATTGCTTTTCTTATCGTAAAATATAGGAATTTATATGCAAGAAGACCGGGAATCTAAGATAAATTATTTCGCAGTTGCTCGGCAGTATTCTGCTCATCTCTAATAAATGAAGACTTTCTTTCTTCCTTTCTTCAATGGATTTAAGACGGTGATGGAATGATAAACTTAAGACCCAAAATATAAGAAAATAGTGTAAAATACATGTGAGAAAATGGTGTTACGTGTGTTTGGCTGTTCTTGAGCACGTGTTTTTACGATATTAGTAGAATTGTCAAAGCTTCATATTTCGCTCGTCGGGTATTTCATAGATGCCGAGTCTATTTATCTCAGCCCCCTTTCTTTGGAAGCAGGCACGCTTTTAATATCTTAAATGAAGGTAAAGTTAATGAAGCAAACAGTGAAATGTGCCGTATTCTTAAAGATAGTCTTTTTCAAAAAAAAAAAAATTGTAAACTTTTACCAATAGTTCTTCTGTTTCAGTTTGGTGTTATCTGCATTTTCGATAACCTTTGAACGATTTGTCAGTTTCTATTATGGCGGAAAAATGTTTGTGAACTTCAGAGATTTTTAAAATTTTATCTTTCATCATTTGAATGTTCAGCATTTAACACTATAACGGGAACATGAACTTGAGTTCGCATTAGAGAATGTTTAAATTTCTGTGCAATAGGGCTAGATGGGTACTTCATCGAAACAAGCAGTAAATATTGGTAAAAATGAAATCAAAATCTATAAAACCTAGTACTTATATATGTGCAAAATATTAGTTGGCTTTTAAAAAATTTTTAAAGCTGCTGTCCCCCCCATCCTCAATCTGAACTTCTGCTATCTATGTATTCATAAAAGGGTTTATGACCCATTGAGGGACAAAATATTCTCTAAACTTGGAAAAACTTTTCTCTCTCATAAATTCCCACCTAGGTCAATTAGAATTTCTTCAACACGTACTGAGCATAGGCATAAGTGATATAAAACATGTTCTCCAGAGCATTAAAATCTGTTTGGGTGCTATTGGCATGCTTACAGATCTAGTAAAAAATGCCAAAAAAAAAAAGCACTGAATATGTAAATGATTCTCCATGTGATTCAAATATGTAATGTATAACATTTAAATTTTTTCATGTAAAAATTATTGGAATCAAGCTCTTATCAATTTCTTAATTTTCAGTCCTTAAACTCAAGAAGAGCTATCCTTGATCTACACGATGGGCAGGGAGGACCGAGCAACGTGGAAGAGTAACTACTTCATCAAGTTAGTGGTATGTATAAAATTGATTTTCTTAAGGTCATATTGGGCAGTTTAAAATCAGAAATGACTGATTATCATGAAAGCAAACTCTTTCCAAAATGGAGTAAGCATTTTTAGATAGCTATGTAAATAAATGGTTGTGTAATTTATATAATTTTTAAATAATCAATAATTCCAGGCTTGAATAATTTTGGTCAATATCTTTCTTAGAGTAAATATTGATTTATCTTTATGGAAAATAAAAATATTATGTAAAGATTTTTTAAAAAGAAAATCATACTAATGTGTTGATGGGAGTTTATGTAAAATGTTTGCTTTCCTAAACAGTACTGTTCAAATTTTTTTTGATTGTTCTGAAGTTAAAAAAAACTGCAGATCTTGCACCAGTTTGCATTTTTAAAAAATTGCCAAATGGGTAGGTTTTGTGCATCTTAAAAAATCACTAACTTATCAGATCGAAGTATTAGATAGCTTCAATTTTGCATGAACCCTCTAGCAACTCGTATCTAAAACAAAGCCCTTGTTTCTTTTTACTGTTATGTAAGATTAAATAAGAAGTAGGTTTTTTTTAATTTAAGTATATTTTCATTGCTTTAAATAATTTGATCAAAATTTTATCTGAGTTAAAGTGTCATATATTGTGCATACTAACTTTTTTCTAAAGCTAGATAAATTGAAACCGTATTTAAAGTATCTGATATCCTTTTTGTATCTATTTTTGGTTTTGATAGGTAAATTTGCTTATTAAATTTTATTTTGCAGCAACTTCTCGATGAATATCCAAAATGTTTTATTGTTGGAGTTGATAATGTCGGATCAAGGCAAATGCAGCAGATACGTCTCTCTCTCCGAAAACATGCCATACTTTTAATGGGTAAGAACACCATGATCAGGAAAGCTATTCGAGGGCATATGGAAAACAACCCAGCTTTAGAAAAGTATGTAATACTTATCAGCTGCGATCTTATACAAAATTTATATTGTATTTTCTTGATATAAGCACCACAGGATATAAAATTTAAAATATTTTAGTATGTTAAGGTACATTTAAAGAAGCACATACATATAGTAAGTGCAAAGAACAATAAATAAAAGTAACACAGAAAGCATTTTTAAAAAAAGGCCCTTTTGGCATAATGTAAAATCTGAAAGGTTTTTTTTTTTTTTTTTTTTTTTTTTTACATTTTATCTGTGCTGTGATGATAGCCACAAATGAATTTTGTGCCTTGTCAGAGCCAGGAATGGTTGAACCCACTGACTTAAGGGCACAAACTTAGGATTAAACTTGCTGTAAGGCCGTCTGAGCACTCAAGTATTCATATGCTTTTTAATGTTTTTCTCTCAGAAAAGATATTTATAATTTTCTCTCAGTTTCATATGGTATTAAAATTCCTCTAATGTCTTATGGCTTGTGTAATGATGATAGCCAAGGATGAAATTTGTACCTTGTCAGAGCCAGAAATGGCTGAAAGCACCGATATTTGGGTATGGACTTAAGATTAAAGCTGTCACAAAGGCCGTCTGAACATTAACGGTAATTTGAATCCTAAGGAAAGTATATTTTTCATTAAGCCTACAGGGGCTGTGTATCTGTAGCACCAGTTTCAAGGATAAAACTTCCAACTTTCAAACAATTATCAATAATATTTTAAGACTTATGTGCATCATGAGGTTTAGCAAGATATCTTGTCAGTCAGTAATGGCTGAACTTGCTCACTTATGAGCTAAACTTACAGGCACTTTAGTTAGCAGGCATAAACTAAATATAATGTCATTTGAGCACTTAGGTGTTAATTTTTTTGGAACAGCTTTAGTATTGGTCCTTTTGGCGATTTTTTGATTTGGCAACAAACGTCGGTCGCCAAGGTAGACCCGGCTTTGAAGATCGGAAAAAAATGGCGGTTTGTCAACAAAACCCGATCTAGACTAAAAAATAAGCTCTTAATCAGAATAAACAGTCTTTCTCTAATTTTCAACATTTCTAGTACTGCTATGATAAATTCTTGAAACACTACTGTAAATGAGGTTGATCTTTACATTATGGTAACTTGGCGAAAATTTGGCAACCAACTCTCCTAGAGCAACCCTCTATTTTTTTTCCCCGCCGCCATTTTGTCTTCACGAAGTAAAGACATGTTTCTTTTCTTTTTATCTACTGAACACTTCTTCCAACAATCTACTAGACGAATTACACTTATGCTAGAAATTTTATCAAACAAAACTGCTTAATCATCACAAATATTCACTGCAAAATTGGGAAAAAGTGCACAATACTTAGTGTCAGATATTTAAATTATTTCCATACACGTTTACTTCAACTAACCATCCTTCCTTCTTACACGTTTTTCAAAATAACACATACACATAAACCATGTACACGCCGACTTATTTTTACTTAAAAAAACATCCCATAATTGCACAAAAATGGCATTGCGCACACTTTTCACTATATCCATGTACACTGCTTTTTTCTCATAAATTAGAAAAATTTCACGAAAATACATGACACTTTTCTCAATCTTTAAACCCGGTAAAAAGAACATATATGAAATTACCTGATCGCGAAAAAAGTATTTACCCTTTCCAAATATGAACATTTCCACATATAAAATAAATAAAATATCCAAAAACTTTTACCTCCAAAAATCTATTACATTATACACGGTCACCAACGAATTCATACCGCAAGCATTACAAATACTTAGTATCAAATATTTAAATTATTTCCATGCACATTTACTTCAACTTAAACGTATACCAAATTCCTAAAACATAAAATTCACAAAATAACTATCATTTAATTAAAATATCACTAAACCATGTACACGTCGACTTATTTTTACTTAAAAAAACATCCCAGAATTGCACAAAAATGGCATTGCGCACACTCTTCACTATATCCATGTACACTGCCTTTTTCTCATAAATTAGAAAAATTTCACGAAAATACATGACAATTTTCTCAATCTTTAAACCCGGTAAAAAGAACATGAAATTACCTGATCGCGAAAAATTATTTACCCTTTCCCAATATGAACATTTCCACATATAAAATAAATAAAATATCCAAAAACTTTTACCTCTAAATCATCTATTATATTATAAACGTCACCAACGAATTCATACCGCAACCATTACAAATACTTAGTGTCAGATATTTAAATTATTTCCATACACGTTTACTTCAACTAAAAAGTATACCAAATTCCTACAAACATAAAATTCACAAAATAACTATCATTTTCATTAAATATAATTAAATTCAAAAACACTACTTAAAATATAAATGAGCACATACATTAAATTAATAAAAATTACCTTACAATCCTAATTACTTTAAACTAAATCATTGCTAATAACAATTTTCCCAATAATTCCAAATTCCTTTCCACCTTACATTTAGAACAATGCATAAAAATATCCTCAAATAATTAAAAATACTAACTTACCTAATCTTCTTCAGAATCTTGATTACGTGGCGGATACACTTTTCTAATTCATTCAATAAAATTATTAAAAGATTTTTTCTGCGAATTTTTCCTCCATACTTCCTCCGCTAAATAAAAAGCAAACTTCTCTTTATCACAATGCCTAAATACCCATTTCGAATTCACTTTAGTTAGGGCCATGGGATCCAAAAATTAACAAACACTGTTTCACACAACACAGAATAAAGCTAAATACAAAATTTCCCGATTTCCCCCCTTTTCCAAATAAAGAACTGTAATTCGTCCATTAATATCACATGACATATCCCATGATCTCTCATTTCCCTCACGCAAAATAATGCGTAATCGTAACTGAGTACTGCTCACATTATTACCAAAGTCCCAGGTAGTAACCTTTATCGCCTCCAAAATGTCGCCAAACTACCAGTTACCATATTGTAAAGATCAACCATAAATGAATTTATAGCAATTATTATGTTATGAGTAATGAAATTTACAAAAAAGGTTAATATTTTAAATTACAGAATATAATATTAATGTATTAAACATTAATATTTTAAGTAGTTAATATTTATATTTTATTATATTAGTACTTAGCTAATATTTTAAATTTACAAAAGGTTAATAAATGCATTTCAAAACTAATGTTACTTTAGTTTCTTAGATCTGTTATTAAAAGAAAATAAAATATTTCAAAATGAAGGAAATCAAATTCAATTATAATGTGCAAGTTTTGTACCAGTATTAGAAATATTTTTTATGATTAAATTTTGTAAATGGTAAAAATATTAAGAAGTGTGCATTTTTTAATCCCTCAATTTATTAGAAGTAATTTATGATTATAATTTAAAAGCTAAAATTAAATTATCATAATGAGTAAATTTTGTACCAATGGTAATAATACAACAATCATCATAAATGATGATGATTTCTGTGAAAAATTCGAACAGTCATTGGAATCCACTAGTGGTAGTTCAGGCTGGCTATGGAAGTTTTTGTAGTTTTCCATACATGTAATGTGAATCTGAGCCAGTTTCTCTTAAAAAGTACTTTATGAAGGTATCCTTCTTCTGCTAGCCAGCACATGTATTTATTTTCTATTCATGATTCTCTCTTATTTTTTAATTCTAAATCTTACTTCTCAAGTGAAGAAGTGTTGCATCTATAGGTCGAAAAATATGGTCAATATGTTTGAAAAAAACCTGTTCAATTTTGGAAAGCATTTAAATAAAGTAAATAATTTGTATATGATGCAAACAAAAATGCATTACACTATTTCATGTAGTGAATAATTAATCAGAGAACAAAATATATTGTAGCATAAGTTATCTTGCCACAAGTGGTTGACTGAGTCATAAACACAAAGTGTGCCTTCTGTTCTGTACATCTAAACTTTATAATAGAATAAAAGTATATCTTAACTTAATAAGAATATATCTAAACTTTATAATAATATCTAAAGACATTGAAATCAGTATCTAAGTGCTTGCCATGTAGTCAAATTTTTATATATAAATTGTACTCTTACTTTTTATTATAAAGTTTTTATTACAAAAAATGAAGATTTCTGTTAGATAAAATGTTTAAGTAATGTAGAAAATTTTCATAAAATTTTAAATAAAAAGTCGACTATTATGTCAACATACTATTAATAAAAGTAATAATACCCAGTGAAGGTTATTCATAACAGCTGTTAGGTTGTAAGATTTACAAAATTTGAGAACTCTAAATTATAAGCAATATATTCCATAATCTAAGCAACATTATATTTTTTGTAGTCAGACAAATTATAAAAATGTTATAAAAGCAATAATGAATCCTGATTTGAACCTATGAATTCATGCAATTACACATCCCTATAGTTGTAATATGAGGCAAATAAGTATTTTTAGACCATGGTAATTTTGATCTCCTTAGCAAAGGAAACACCAAGAGTTTACCTCATGCTACTGAAAATGTGTTTTTTTTTTCCTTGGGGGGGGGGGTGGAGTTTATAATTATATGCAGAGTTGACATATGAAAAAATGTCAAGACTCATGCGATGTAATATTAAAAGCACGAGTTTTAACTATTAAAATTTTGGCTTTTTAAAATATATTTTAAATATTGTGCTTTCCTAACACAAAAGTAACTTTAAGAAAAACATGGAATTAATCCCTCCTGCCATCAAAGCTCTGATACCTACCAAATTCGTTGAATATGCGTGGACAGAAATGGTGGCATGTTTTAAGCTCAGTATTTAGGGTTAGCAAGGTTATCATAATTTTTCATTTATCGTTCTAAAATGTCGCCAAACAAATTTCTCGCCAAAAAGGACTAATACTAAAGCTGTGCCATTTTTTTTTTATCTCTTTACTTCCTTGTACAAAGTAAAAAGAAGTATTGTGATCACGAAAAATTCCAGGTGTCTTGTTTCAACAAAAATATTCACTTTGTCCGCTATCAAATGCGAATTAATGATGTTTGTGTGAAGGACTATAAACATGTTGTGCACCTCCCCTTTTTGCTTGCAATCAGCTGCACCAGAAGTATGTGTATATATACAGAGGCTCCAAGAGTTTGTACACTTATGATTTTCATTGAAATAGGGCTCTATCCATTAATTAAAAGTAAACTTTCTGATTGAGATTTTAATAATAAGATTTATAATCTATTTGTAAAAAAATTACATGAAATATTTTTAAAACATAGCGAAACTTTATTTTAAAGAAATTAATCAAAAAATTAAACTTTTTATCTCGCAAAAGTCTTTGTACACTTCAAAAAAATCTCGACATATTAGTAAATGTTTTCATTTTTTGTTAAATTAATGTTTAGTAGAATATCCTTTAGCATCCACGAAACCGCTTTCAAATGTCTGGAAATAGATTTTACTAGTTTTTTGTAATTTCTGTATCAATGTTCATTCATTCTTCCATCATGACTGTCTTGAGTTCACTTTTCGTTTTGATGTCATGTTTCTGTACTCTAACCTCCAGTTCTTTCCAAATGTGTTCTATGGGGTTTAAATCTGGCAACTGAGGTGGTGTTTTCAAAACCTGTGGACAATTATAGACATCAGGCAAATGTTGAGATATGTATGCTTAGGATCGTTATCATGGTTAAAAATAAAGTTGTTTCTAATACTCAAATTTTGGTCTGATAATTTTAAATTGTCTTTTAAAATATTTAAATAAAGAGAATGATTCATTATGCCAATAAATACAAAATTACGTAGTCCTGATGCTGCCATGCACCCCCACACAAGAACACCACCACCATGCTTAACTATTCTAACTAAGTTCTTAGAATAAAGTTCCTCATTTTTTCTTCTCCATACGGTTGTTTGACCATTGGAACCAAAAATATTAATTTTGCTTTCATCAGCAAATAGGACATTATTCCAGTACCTTTCGGGTGTATTTATCATTGATTTTGCAAATGAAAGCCTAAGCTTTCTGTTTTTCTCACGTAAAAAAATTTTTTTTACATGCAGAACACCCATGTAATCCAGCTTTTCTGAGAACTCGTCAAACAGTTTCAGGTGAAATTGAAGTAGAAAACTTAAATTCTGCAGAATTTAAGCAGAAACTTTTACAGCATTCAAACATGGGTTTTTCACAAATTTTCTAGTAATAAATCTCTCATCTCGTTTAGTTAACTTTTTCGGTCGACCTTGTCTTACCTTGTTTTCAATCCGATTTTCTTCTTTAATGTGTTTTATTACACACTGCACTGTAGAATGGGATAAATTAACTAATTTAACGATATTTCGAATTGATTTACCACTACTATGGTGAAAAATTATCAATTTTCGAATGCTCTTTTCAATTTCTTTACGACTGAGACCCATTTTTCCATAATAAATAGAATATTCTGAAGTAAACAATAAAAAATTAAAGCAAATGATTTTTTAAATGCCACCACAATGCAAAAAAATTAAAAAAAAGCAGCAAATGATAATTCTAATTTTGATTTAATCCAAAAATATTTGTGTATGAAGACTTTTGTGAGATAAAATGTATGTCATTTTTTGATTATTAATCTCTTAAAAATAAAGTTTTGCTATATTTAAAAAATATTTCATGTAATTTTGTTACGAATAGATTATAGATCTTATTATTGAAATCTCATTCAGAAAGTTTACTTTTAATTAATGGATAGTCCTATTTGAATGAAAATCATAAGTGTACGAACACTTGTGGGAGCAGCTGTATATATACCCACTGTTTACTTGGCTCCATTAGCTCAATTATTTAAAATTCTTATATGTTGGTAAGTTGTGAATTTTTGCTTTAAAATGATTGAATAATGTTGTTTTCTTCAAGTTAAGGTTTTTATGCCTGTAGTTAATCTGCATGGAATAATTGTAGAATTATCAACAATTTAAAAGTTGGTTAAGTGCGGCTAGGCTTTTTTTTTTTCTTTCTTTAACCATAGCAGCCATTTTTATTTTACGGGGAATGCTCAGATAAACAGCACTTGGCAAGGCTCCTGAAATCCCTTTCACCAACTTGGGCGATAGGTGCTGAACAGTTGGGGAGAGTGTTGGGGTTGCTAGCCCAGATGCTAAGATAAGGAAAAGCAGATATTTCTTTCTATATGTAGATACTTTGTGTTGAATGTCATGACTTTGCAGATAAATCTGTGCTGATGATTACATGGCTTTGTCAGTAGATGTTTTATTTTCTAAATAATAACACCTGTAATTAGAGTAGAATAATTTTAATTTTATACAGGATTGCTCACATTATTCCATGTGAATTTATTTACGTATAATTAATTTCTAAATAAATTGATTACACTTCTAATCAGAATAAAATGATTTTATTTTGGTGAATCTTTGGAGGATTATGGTAACTTGGTGATTTTTTGGCAAAAATTTGGTGACCAACACTGCTGCAGCAACCTGCTAGTTTTTTGGGGGGATGCCATTTTGTTTTCACGAAGTAAAGGCATGTTTTTTTAATTCAACATTTTTTCCAACAATTTGCTAGCCGAATTACGCTTATGCTAGAACTTTTATGGAACAAAAGTGCTTAATCATGACTAAGATTAGGGTGCGAAATTGTTTCTAAGTGCTTATTAGCTAAAATCACTTGGTGCCTTGGTTGATTGCTTGTTTTTACATAGAAACTAATTTTGTTTTTTTTGCTTGTTTTTGCATAGAAACTGTAATTTTAATTGTTTTAACTGCATTAGTTTTATAATTTGCCTTTCTGTGAAGTGAGAATTGAATGTAAAATATATCAAATGAAATTCAAGGAAATAAGCTTAAATGAAATGTAGCAAAAAATGCATGATCTGATATTCTGTACAAGGAAGTCGTGGTATGTACAGAATTTTTTAAATGCAAGAGCTAAAAAAAATCAAAATTTAATTTTGATTATATACAGCTGATATAAATGGCCTAGACAATTTTTGTGATGTTCTTAAAAGTGTATATATGTGCATTTGAAATATATCCAGTAAATTAAGGCTATAGATTAAAAGTACATAAATCCAGATCCAATACATTTGGCATTAAAATAAAGAAAATATTCCTACCTCATGGCAGTTTTAGGCATTCTTAACAAAACCTGCTGTTCAGAGCATTGAGCGAGTATACTACGTGTTAAAATTGGTTAATATCTTAACTTCTGCCAGTTTTCTGATTTCTGAAGTGTTGTATATTTGAAGATAATTTTACTCTTCAATTTATATAGATGGAGAAACGTGGTTTATACTATAAGTGTTTGTGTGATGATGATAGCCAATAATGAAATTTGTACCTTGTCAGAGCTAGAAATGGCTGAACCCACTGACATTTGGGTACAAATTGAAGATGAAAACTGCTGCATAAGCTGTCTGAACACTAAATTATATCCTTCATTCGAAATGTGTATATTACAATAAGCTTATAGAGTGCATGTACCTCAAACATTAGTTTGAATAGTAGAATTAAGTCATTACTGACATTTTAATCAATAATTTTTGTGCATGTTATGACTCTTGAAGAAAAAACTACGTGTATGTATATGCTTTTATTTTATCTATACATTTGTCTTATATTCATTATTATTTTCATTTGCACCTTTTTTCCAAGCTTATAATTTAAAATTCACTGACCTAAAATAAGATTTCTTAATTTAGAAGCTAGGAGGGATTTCAAATTGAAAATTATCAACTGTTTGCATTAGATCTTGTGTATGTGTAGAATAAAAATTTCCCTTAAATTTTTATTGTAAAAAAAAATTCATGTTAAATTATTCAGTCATGAACATAGATAATCTTTAATAAACACAAACTGTATTATTCTTTTAAACTAGTATTTTGATAACATGCATATGTGCTTTTTATTATTTTGGTCACCTTTTATCATAAAATTCTGTAATTATAACGATACTTTTTTCTTCCTTGACTGCTTGTGGTTATGCAAATAAAATCTTTTCATTAATATGAGACTGGAATTAAAGGTTATTTTGTTTGCGAGTTTGATGCTTTATTGGGTTCCCCCCTTTTAGTCTAATTGAATTTATTATAGGTATTGAATCTATGTTTTCATTTAATCTTTTTTTTTTTTTTTTTTTGTCTGTAATGTTTTTAGACATCTTGATATTTTAATTTGCAAAAGAGAAGTTTCAAGCAAGTACAAAAATATAAAATGAAGGTTTAAATAATAACAAAATAATTTGAATATAGAAATTCTGTAGTTAAAATATTGAAAGTAACTCAGCAGATGTACTATATAGTTTAGAAATATGTGGGAAACTTGACTATTAAGACCATTTGAATATTTACTGCAAGTAGGGTATAGGTTTAATTTTTTTGGTTTCTAACATGCCTGCTGTTATAAAGTTTGGTATTCCCATTTTATGCTAATTTGCATAGCAAAAGCCTTTTAAGGTATTTAAAAATTGTAAATTAAAATGTTTCTTTTAAAAATTTACGTATGTGGTACTTACTAAGATTTAATCTTAAATAAATTGTGACAAGTTAATTTGTTTTGTCAGCTGTTTTGATAGTGGTATATTAGTGTTCAACTGCAGAAGAGATGTTTTAATTTTCTGATTTAAAGTTTTTCTACTTCACTGTAAAAGGATTAATGGTAACTTTTTTTTTTTTTTTTTTTTTTAAGAATTATCCCTCATATTCGTGGAAATGTTGGATTTGTTTTTACCAAAGAAGATTTGGTTGAAGTAAGAGACAAAATTATGGACAATAAAGTCAAAGCTCCAGCAAGAGCAGGTGCTATAGCTCCATGTGATGTGATCCTGCAACCACAAAACACTGGATTAGGACCAGAAAAGACCTCTTTCTTCCAAGCCTTGCAGATTCCAACTAAGATTTCTAAAGGAACTATTGAAATATTGGTATAGAGTTTATTTTTTAAAATTTATTTCCAGATCTATTAAATGTTTTTTATTAATTTGAATTTTACTAGCCATGATTTAAAATTTTGGTACATGGGTAGTTAACTAAGTATAAATACCAGGTTTTGAATGCGAGAAAGAGAACAGGATAGTGCAACTTCTTTAATAAATTTATTAGGCTAAGACTAAAACTGGTTTTCTCTGGCAACAGTGAATAATGTTCCAGGTGTGAAATCATCGCTAGAGGAACTTTTAATCAAAATGGCACCATCCGTGAAGGGAAAACCATTCTGTATTTTGAGTACACCAAAACATTGCTTATGAAGTCCCACGAAATGGATGCTTGCCAGTTCCAAATATAATGCCTCAAATAGCAGTGTGGCATGTGCTATGGTAGAACCTATGGCATTGGAGAGTAAACCCCAACATAAAAATAGTTGCCAGGCCTGGCAATGAAGTGGTTGGGATGGGAGTCTGGGCACTAACCAAGAGTATAAAAGCATGTTCCATTGGTACTTCAAGCATAACCCGCACAGCGACTGATTGAAATTGGACGTGTCAAACGCGCTCGTTCGGAGTCGTTTACTGTATGATTTTAAAGTGGCCCTGTCGGTCAGCAGAATCACGTCATCGAATTTGCCAGGCCTTTGGGAATGATACTGCATTAACGAACGAACCTGCTAGGAAATAGATTCTAGAAGTTCAGGTGATCGGATACGTCTCTTAGTGATACATCGCAGCAGTTGGCAGCAAGCGCTGGACAATGAGGCCCCGAGAGCAGAGAGAGTGACAGTAGCCAAACATGCGGTAAGCTTGCTGCATACTTCCAGGCATCTGATTAAGCAATCAGACTCAGTGTGCACCTCATAGGAAAGCCATACAAGATGAACAAGCGGGGACCCCACTCAATGCTATGCAAACAAGCACCAGTGTGTTGCTGCCTGTTCGTCATTGCTTACTCTGCACCGCTATGCATCCATATTTGCGAGAACTCTCCCCGGCGATGAAATGCGGGTCCAATATGATGCACCCAGGTGTTCCAGATTTTGGTTGTCACCACGAGACCCTGTGTCTCAGTGCGAGACCTCTCCAGTTATGTAAGATCATGCTGTGTGGGCTAAACCATACACCAGGCCTGTATTTGCAGCATTTGGGTCCCCACATGTGCATCAATCAGCCACTGATGCGTAAAGGGTCTGCTCCTTCTCTATGACAGTGGGAGGCCACATGTGGCTCTGGAGGCCAGTGACTAGGCTGGGAGACGCTACTCAATCCATTGTACTCCCCACACCTCGCACCAATTTTTTTGGTTACCTTGTAAGTGCTTTGGGTCACGTATGTAAAAGTTTCACTTGATTGCAAATAGCATTGACAGGTTCCTCATAGTGGTCAAGAAGCTACACATGATGAATATGTATGGCTAATTGTTCTAATGCATGATAACCCTATATTGTTAAAAGCTGATCGATGTATTATTGTTACCTCTGTGGATTTAACTCTGCTGTGAGTAACACTTGTGGCCTTGGAGCTACTTGATATTGTGTAGCATATTCCATGCCACAGCATCGTAGATTAAAGATGTCTCCAGCCATCAGGCTGATGAAGGCTGAAGTAATGTATATTCCATAACCTTCCCATAGTCATTGATGGCTGTGATTGGGAAGATAGACCATACAAAGTACAAATAATATTCGGTGTTTTATAAAAATAAATAATAAGTACTGTACTCATCCATTTGATATTCTTATGTAGGTTATATTATGTTTCTGCTATATGAAAAATTTAATTTTCAATGAAGTATAAACTATTTAATATTTTATTAAAATTTGTAAATTTATAACAGCATATATGTTTGTCGGTGACTGCAGTCATGTTTTTCCATTACCTGTGATGATGTAATTTGCGTCTGAGCACTGTGTATTGAGTAACTGCCTATTACTCATTAGCACTAGTGTTCTCTGAAGGAAACTTATTTCTGAGGTGTTTTTCAGCACAAGAATTCATGATTTGTAAATTCCTGCAAGTTGCATCTAAATTGTATAGTCTACCTTGCATGTACAAGGTCTGTATATAGGTAGATACAATATCCATTATTATTACACCCTTTCTAAGTATGTGTCAATTTTTTCCCAATCTTAAACAATGTTTTTTACATTTTAATAAAGTTTTTCACTGTATAATATATGCTGTTACTAGTTTCTGTTTGATAATGTAATTAGAAAGTTGTCTCTTTATTTGTCTGTAGAATGCTGTAATTTATCTGATCGATGTATTAAGTGTTGCCTCTGTAGATTTAAGTCTACTGTGAGTAGCACTTGTGGCCTTGGAGCTACTTGATATTGTGTAGCATATTCTATGCCACTGCATCGTAGATTCAAGATGTCTCCAGCCCCTCAGGCTGATGAAGGCTGAAGCAGTGTATATTCCATAACCTTCCCATAGTCATTTTTGGCTATGATTGGGAAGATAGACCATACAAAGTACAGATAAATATTAAGCTTTTGATGAAAATATATATATATATAAAATGTAATTGCATGAAGTGTACTGAGATTAGTGTGTTTTCATGCAGAGTGTAATACTGTTTCCAGTATGCGAAATGTTTGGCTTTGGAGGGAGTACAAATGCTTTTCAGCATTTTATTATAAGTAAATTTAGTGTAACAGCATACATACTTATCAGGGCACGTAGGCATTTCTAAACAAAGAATTTAAAAGAATATAAATTTATTACGAGTACATACTGTATTCATTACCTTTCTTACTAGATAAGCCCTTTTACCCGTGCTAAAAGAGCATTCCCCCCTTGCTTTCCTAAACTCGGAAAATATGTATGTACCATTACTTAGATTATTTTTAACATAATTTATAAATTTAACAACAAATTGTGCATGGGTTTATGTAAAATACAAGTTGCAACCCGCCTGGCTGCTAACTGGTGAATACCGAAACTCAAATAATGTCATAAAGTAAATACTTAAAATGTAAATAAAATGATAACTGTATTCATTTCCTCATCCCCGGTTGAGATGCCTTGCTTTATGAAATGCCATAACATAGCTGATTTTGATGTATTAGTGTTGCTTTTGTGGATTTAACTCTGCTTTGATCCACAAAATGCACTTATGGCCGCCTTTAAGCTGTTTGATATTGTGTAGCATATTCCATGCTGCTGCATGTAGATTAAAGATATCTTCTTGGCTGATGAAGGTTGAAGCAGTGTGTATTCCATAACCTTCCTTTTGTCATTGTAAACTGTAATTGGGAAGATGGGCCATACATAGTACAAATGGTGTTAAGTGTTTTATAAAAATAAAATAATAACTCATTTATTTTATATTCCTGTGCAAGTCATATTGTTTCTGCTATATGAAAAATTTTAAATTCTATGCTATATAAGTAGTATTTAACATTTTATTATTGTTGAA